TCCCAACCCTCACTGGTGTCCCTGTGACGGTGACAGAGGATTCCCAACCCTCACCAGTGTCAGAGGATTCCCCAACCCCTCACCGGTGTCCCTGTGATGGTGACAGAGGATTCCAGTGCCAGAGGATTCCCCAACCCCTCACTGGTGTCCCTGTGACGGTGACAGAGGATTCCCAACCCTCACCGGTGTCAGAGGATTCCCCAACCCCTCACCGGTGTCCCCGTGACGGTGACAGAGGATTCCCAGCCCCTCACCGGTGTCACCGTGAGGGTGACAGAGGATTCCCCAACCCCTCACTGGTATCCCTGTGACGGTGACAGAGGATTCCAGTGCCAGAGGATTCCTCAACCCCTCACCGGTGTCACGCCGCCGGTGACCAACCCGCCAGCAGAGGATTTCCCAAGCCCTTGGCCGAGGGCCACCAGCGGTGTCCCCGCGGTGTCCCCGTGCCAGAGGCCAGGGCTGACAGAGGCCAGGGTGGTGTCCCCGCGGTGTCCCCGTGCCAGAGGCCGGGGCTGACGGAGGCCAGGGCTGACGGAGGCCAGGGCTGACGGAGGCCAGGGCGCCGCGTTCCCAGGGCCGGTCCCTGGGGCGGTGACACCACATCCGTGTCACGGCCCCGGCTGTCCCCGGCTGTCCCCGGCTGTCCCCGCTGCCGCCTTGGCAGCCGCTCGGGGTGAAGCCCTGGAGAGGTGTCACATCTGCCAGGCGCTGGCACGGCCCCCGTGCAGCATCCCCCCCTCATCCATCACAGCCCATCCATCACAGCCCATCCATCACAGCCCATCCATCACACCCCATCCGTCACCGCGGGGACAGGGAACCCCGAGGGAACCCCCCGAGGGAAAAGGGAGGGGACACGGGGACACCCAGGGGGGTCCGGCGGGTGCCAAGTCTGGCGTGGGGAGAGAGAGAGAGAGGAAGCAACACCCGGCGCCGCCGGGGTCACATTCCTGCCTAATCCCTTGGCACAACCCGCTGCCAGCCCGGCCAAGGACGGGCAGCGGCAGCGGCAGCGCCGGGACCACCCGGGATCGCCAAAAATCCCCTCCCCCCCCTTTGGAGGAGAAACCTCCAAAAATGTTTTTTTTCTGCCCTGGAGGGGAGGGGGACAAAAAAAACCCCAAAGCCTCTTTTTTCCACCTGGGGGGGG